CACCTAATTTAATGGGTTCTCAAATGTTGAATATTTATATTCTTTGAAAAAAGGTAATCCACCAAACATTAATTCATCTTGACCATCTTTCTTTGTATTTCTCTCCTTCAAGTCCTCTTCAACCGAAGTTTGCTTAACCTCTTCCGTAAATAATAAATAATATTACCTTATTATGAAACTTTGAGGAACTTTTATACTCACCCTTTAAGGAGGAACTTTAGTCAAGCGCAAATCCTATTAAAGTCAGATATTTCTTTCTCATCCCAATCACTTTTATTTTTCTAGCATATTATCAAAAAATATTAATAAAAATATTTTAGAAATATATAAAAACTAAAACTAATAAAAATTAAAACAATTTATAAAAGCTAAATATATAAGCATAATAAAGTGAGACGGAGAGAAAGCATGCAATCTTAATTTGCTTTGGGTATAAATTATTTTTACTATTCTTTTAAGAATTTGTTAACAATAGTTCTTGCGTTTAAGTTTAAACATTTAAAAATTTATATTTATATTAAAGAGTAATATATTTATTAGTTAAATTTATAAAATATAATAAATATTTTTAATAATAATAATAATAATAATAATAATATATTATTATTATTATTATTAAGTGCTTAAACTTAACTTTAAAAGTTTGAGTTAATATTTTATTAAAAAAATTTAAAAGTATATTTAATTTTATAATTTTTTAAATATATTTTAATATAATTTTAAAAATTTATTTTTTAATTTCTTAATCAATATCTTAAAAATACTGATTAAAAAAAATAAAATATTTCTGTTGTGCGGATAAATAATTGACTGCTTGAAGCAGATGGGTGTAGCTGGTGGCATGGCACAACAGAACTGACTAGGTAACCAACAGAAATATACATTGAACGTGCAAAACCTTTATCTCTTTCTTTTTGGTGGATGATAAGGGCGAAGGCCCAAAGGAAAAAAAAAACCTACGAATGTATTGGAAATAACTAGATATTACAATTAAAATTTAACTAGTGGATGTTGGTTCGACCCTAATCTAATTTAAATAGAAAAATTAACTGATTTAATTAAATAATTTATTATCTTTTGACAAAAAAAAATGTGTCTTTACAACAGATTTGGTTTAAATAATAAACGACTCAATATCGCTTAAATAAAGTCTTGAGTTTAAATTTTTATATATACAAAAAATCTTCAGTAATAAATTTATCTATCATATCTAGATGCGTGACCAGAATAATAAAAAAAAATTTCTCTTTACCAAAAAGAAATTATATATTTCATTAAAAATATAACTTAATTCTTAACTTTTTATTAATTAATTTTTATAGATCATTTTAATTGTAATATAGTTAATATACAATTTATTTAAAAATATATAAACAAATTTATTTATTTATTTATTTATTTAAAAAAGTGAGTGGATTCTCCCTAATTTCTTTAGGGATGAAATTAAACTTTGAATTTTTATGCATATTTCTCTTACCTCAAACTTACTTTGATTTTTGCCAAAGTAAGGATGGGAAGTAGGGATGAAAATGAGTCAGGCTGCTCGTCGGGGGCCTATAACCTAGCCTATTTAAGGCCTAACTTGACTCGGTTCGTTTATTAAAAAAGACAGGTTTAGACTTTTGAAAAGACATATTTAAATAAAAGAGGCTAGACTTAGACTTTAAAAAAAATCTTTCAAGACTATTGGGCCGACCTAATTAAATAATTATATTATTTTATAATTTATAATTATTTATTTATTTGTAATAATTTAATATAAATATGATTGTCTAGAAAAATTATATATATATATATATATATATATATAATATAATGTGTAACATAATTTAGTATTTATACTTAAATAATATAATAATTATAATTATATTATTAGAGAATCAATTAAAACTTACCGTAAAAAAATTATCAATTAAAATTTCTTACATATTAATATATATATAACATAATTTAGTATTTAATTTATAATAATATAATAATTAAAATTATACTATTAGAGTACCAAAATTAAAATTTATTGTAAAAAAATTATCAATTAAAACTTTGTCTAATTTCTAAAATATCTTAATCCATTATTAGAATTCAATTTTTTCTAATTTCTAATCTAGTCTTTTTAATTCAAATATTTTTCAATTTCTTAACCCTAATATAATTCTTTAAAGTCATGACTGCATAAAGCAAAAACAGAAGTTGCCTTTAGCAATTGCTTGTTGGATTTTACGCTCTAGTCTTATTTTTTATTTTCTTTTCATAATAAATATCCTAATTGTTAGTTTGGTATTTGAGATTATATAATATAAACATATTGTCTTTTGTTACTTTTTGGATTAGTTGATATATGAAATTTTGTAGAGTTATTGAATATGATCATGTTGAATTATGATATGACCTTTCAGCTCGCTAGGCTGTTGACTATTAGCTTATTGACTTACTGGCCCGTTAAACTTATATTTAAATATAATGTTATTTGAGGGCCTTAATGTTAAATAGGCTACTAAATAAGCTATTGAGTTAAGTCAGACTTTTAAAAAGGTTAGGCCAAAGCAAAAAATTTGGCTTATGTCAGGTCATAGGCCTAGATCCAAGCTCAAATTTTGTGTAGTAGGCCAAACCCATTTACCCTTAAATCTAAACTAACCTAACATATTCTCATCCTTAATGGGAAGCATTAAACCCATCACCAACCCCACTTGTTATCATTTTTAAAAATTAGTCTATTATATCAACGATGTGTTTATATAAATAGTTTAATTCAAGACAAAAAAATATTTAATTAAAATAAATTGAAAAATATGTTTTAATAACTTCAATAAAATGATATATAATATAAGGTATAATATACTTATAAAATTTATATATTATTTTTTAAATTCAAATATATATAAAAACACTATTGAGTGTTCCCTAAATCAACATAATGGCAATGGTTGCAAATGGACAGAGGGTACTCCCCATTTCTTCTACAGGCATTTCAATTGTACTACTGGGTGGTTGGCCAAATGGGCACTTCTTGTGCATAAAGCTCACATGTCTTGCCTCACTCAACAAATTCAGGTCTTTAATCTTCTCTTTTTTCTGTGTGGACATTCATTTCTTTAATCTCAAGGTGAATACAGAGGACTAATAATTCACCCATGCTTATATATACTACCTCTATTGTATTCATTTATTTAGGGAGAACAAATTATACAGACTCAAAAATATGATTATTCTATTAGAATTATTTATTTTATTAAACTATTTTTTAATCTTTTAAAGTAGTCAAATATTATAAATATTTTAGTTATTATACCTAAAATATTTATATGAACAAAAAAGTATTAGTAAAAATAATAATAATTAATATCATATTAAACTTCTACATGGATAAATAAATAAATAAAAATTTCTTCAAAATTCTATACATAGATAAATAGGAATAAAAGTACTATAGTCAATCATAATACAAGATACATTATAATAATATAATAATTATTAAAAAGACAAAATTCTTATTAAATTTTTAATATTATTTCTTTTAGTTAATGTGTCTACAAGCAAAGTATCGTGATTCAATTTTCTCCCAAATTGCAGAAATTGAATATTTTTCAGTCACTCAATGGATCCAATTAGAAAGAGAAAGGCACGTGTCTTTTGTAGGTTTCACAAACTACAAAATAAATGTGTCTTTCTTTTTCCTGCTGCACTCCTCCGTTGGAGAGAAGTTTTATTTTTCCTAAACTGTCCCCATAAAGTGAATATAATAAAAAAAATTTGAAAATAGAAATAAAATAAAAATTTAGCTTTTAGATAAAGTAATTTAACATCGAGATTGTTCTTATCAATCGAAAAAAAAAAAAGCAGTGTTTTAAAAAAATCTTTTAGAAATGTTGTATACAGGAAAGCAACTTAAAAATTTAAAGTATACTTGTTTAAAACTTTAAAATAAAATTTAAAAAAATGAGTGTTATGAAAAGAAACAACTTATATTTAGAAATAATATTTTAAAAGCAAATTTAAAAAAATATTCAGACGATAAAGTAAAATTATTTTCAAAATAGAAATGTTTTATAAATTTCAAGATTAAAATTATTTAGAATTAAAATTAGATTTTTTATTTTAAAATTATTTCTTCAAAACAATTAAATAATTTTATGTTTCTCAAAGTCAGTTGTTTCCATAAACTTTTTTGTGCTTACTGACTAAAATTAATTATGGTGTGTTTTTTGGCACAACCCATTGGCTTTACTGTTGAAAATGTAAACCAGCTAAGAGAGAACTGATGTAACTTAAGCGAAAATCTCGAGTTTGAGCCCATCAAGCATGTAATTGCATAAATATTTCAGAATAAAAAAAACATTGTTGTCTATAATAATTTCATCTGATCAAATCCAATTTTTTAAATATCCAACATAATATTTGTAAATCGATAGTGAAGAAATAAAAATAAACAAATTGGCTCCTACTTTTCAGTTTATAAGCTATCGTCAGTCACTGCAATATAAACGCCTGATAAAACATTATTTTTCTTTTTCTTTTTTTTTTTAAACTTATAAAGAAGATGGCGACACAATTTTTAAAATAAAAAACATCTAAATATATTGCACTATCTTAAAAAAGTTTAAATATATTTTTATTTCATATTTTTCTTCAGCATGTTAAATTTTTAAAAAACTTTCATACTTAATTTCTTAAAAAATTTACCACTTTTAATCACCCCACCAACAACACAACTAATTAAAATACTATCATACCAATTTGTTTTTATCATATCAAAGAAGGAAAATAACTAAATATTGAATCTAAAAAATTAAAAACAAAAAACACAAACTAAAATTTAAATCCAATAAAGTATAAGAACCAAAAACACATTTAAAGCTATTAAAAATTAAAAGAAAAATAGATTCCGCATACCTAGATTATTTATAATTCAGTAGTACACAAACTGATGTTTCCATTAAAAAAAATGCAAGACTAGATACAGGATACCACAAAACAATTCCTTGCAAAGCAATGTTCTACAATATTAAACATACTATGACATTGAAATCCGTTTACCAGGTTCGGTTAACATTAATATGAAAAAAAGGGAAAAAAAATATTTAACCTAATTGCTGCCTACAAGATCAACAACACAAGGGTGAATTGGATAGACCTATGACATAATATTTTCGATCCCCTAAAATGAATTTACAATAACTTCAGTCTTGTAGTGGACTCAATAAGAAGACCACACAATCACAAAGTGGAAGGTAACAACTTGAGTAGTAGAACAATACAAGGCCAATATTTCAATCACTCTCCTTTTCCTAATTTCAGATGTTTGTGAAAGCAACAGAAATATGGTTAGTATAATAGCACCAAATTGGATCAAGTCCAAGCAAAGTTAGTAGATTGAAGATATCTTCAGCCTACAAAATCATGCAACAGTTGCCCTCCACCAATAACATCTCTCCCAAAATGTCGATTTTGTGATTCAAAACCACTTATAACATAGCCCTCAGGTTGAAGGGCAACACCAAAACGCTGAGCTGCACTCATGCTAAAGGGCTCAGATAACCCAATACCATGATTTTGGTGAAGACCAAGTGTCAAGGACACACCATTGTTGCTTGCACCGCCACCACTCCCCATGCTCACTCCAACACCCACTTGCTGATGATTGCTTGTGTTATTCTGATTCAGTTGTTCCTGACTCCTCACTTGCATGTTAGCAAGTTCATTTCTAGTGCGGTTATAAGGCACATCCTGAAACTTACCTGTGGAGGTAGATGGATTCTCAGTGACGAGAGAGTTGTCTGAAGGCATTTGATCACTCAAATTGTTCCTACTATGCTCCTCCCTTTGTGACTTTTTTTGAGCTTGCTGTGATTCTAGCATATGTATTTCTTCCACCATTGGTTTCCAAAGCCTTACTCTTGCATTAATAAACCAATTAGACACCTGTTAAGATGTAGTCAAGAAATCATTTTAGAATCCATCAACCAATATATGAAATCATTTATAAGATGGATCTTTGTTCTTGAATTCACACCTGGTTACGAGATAGACCAGTTTGTTTAGCCAACATTAGCTTGTCGGTATCAGTAGGATAACTGTGTCAAGAAAAAACTGATTGAGTAATCCAAAAATATTAGTCTCAGGAAAGGATTAGAGTCCATATATATGTAAACATATATGCATTAATTTTTTAGGTGAGAAAAGGAAAAAGTGAAAAACCAACTAGCTCTTGGAGTTAATATCAAAGTATAATGTCCTTAAATATCAATATTGAGGCATGTCTTAGCACATTAAAAAAATTATTTAGCACTTACGGGTGGAGAAAGTGTTCAAACAACCAAGCCCTAAGAACACTCACAGCACGCTCAGGGAGTCCTCTTTGAGGTCGCCAAACTGGTTGTTGGTGCTCAAGAAAAGCTGGCCTTTGGCTGTAAGTGCCCCTATCACTGTTTTGGAACCTTGGAGATTCGTCCTTCCTGTTGCTTATCTGAAAATGAGCCTTGTTGATGAACTGAAGCTGGTCAGTAATAGCATTCTTCAAGCATCTAAAATGTTTGGACATGGCATTTATCGCCAAACTTGCATATGGGGCTGCATTACCAAGGCCAGCAACATACTCAAATGAAGTTACTACTGCATGCATCTGTTGATAATACTGCCTGTATCTCCTGTAAACCTGTTCGCGATTAACAACAAAGAGGAATTATTATAATCAGGATTAAATGTTGAATATTTTGGTGATTATGTAATGCATTGATATTCACTGCATTTGTATAAGACACTGAATATTGAAAGCAAACAGAAATTGCTACTTGTACCACCCAATTGATTACTGAGACTAGATCACTAGATCCCAACACAAATAAAGGTTTGTGACAAGGACCACAAAATCTGTCAGTAACACTGATGGACGTAAAAGAAAGGGGAAAAAGAAGCTTTCATTAGGTACAAATTTTCTTTAGCTTTTGTTATTTAAAAAATATCAATACCTTGTAATATATCATAGAATTTTACAAGTTTTCACACCTAATTTAGCGCTATGATTTCAGACCATCCATCCTAACAGTAAGGAAAAAAACAAAGCAATGGAATGCACTATCCAATGAAAAATGAGAATTGAGATTATTTTTATCAGGGAGAAGCAAACTGGTAAGCAGAGATGGTTAATTTCAGATAAACCCATGCATTTTTAAGATACAGATGGAAACATAATTCGTCAAAGTTTTGTGAAACTCCACACAACACAACAGAAATCCTTATTTATCATAGATTCTTATGTTTAATAGATTTATCTAGACATGCAACAAGGCTCAAGACAAACAAATTACAGCATATCCAAATCGCAACCAAAATATACACAACTTTTTCAACACAGAACCTCACATGTTCTAGCCCATGCGTCCAATAATTGGGACTTCAGAGCCACAGTCATAGGTTGATGCCTACGTGTTTTGCAACAGCTAGATGGAAAGAAGTCCCATCTTCTGTCCAGAAAAATTTGAAGCAACTTAATCAATTTTGTTGACTGAATTTTCTTTTGGGTACTTGGACATCAATCATTATAAGAGTCATAAATTACGACAACCAAAAACAACATTACAAGCATATACACTAATTAACAACATTAGATAACATAAATATGAATAAAAAAGCAACAGTTAAAAAATGTCAAGTAGCAAGAAACAAAATAAAACTACAACAGATTACCAAAAGTTAATTTAACAAGATCAATTTGAAAGAAATCACTAAGATGATAATTATAAAAGAAATCAGGTGTAAAGTTGAATATCACTATTTGCTAACAAAACAGACAAAAAGAAAGAAATTAGAGACTCAGTACAGCTTGATTTCATATTAAAAAAATATTTTCCACCTCAAAATGTATAATTATAGGGATTTGCTAATATATACACTTATTTATTAAAAAGGAGTATATTGCAAGTTACAACTAAAATCTCCTCAAAATACACAAAAGCTATAGCTTGCTAACATATTCCAACTAAAAAATAAATGGGTGTACATTAGTAACTTAAATGCTAATATACACCCACTTAGTTTTAGGAATATGTTAGCAAGTTATAACTTTGATCTTCTTAAAACAAACCTGACGGTGTAGCTTACTAAAATAACCCTTCTAAAGAAGAAGTGAGTGTATGTTAGTATAAAATTTAACTTAAAGTTATATATTAATAATTAGAATAATGGATATTGCAAATCACTTTAATTTTACATCACATTTTACAACAATTCAATTATTGCAAAAGGGCCACCCATAGATATGAGGGTCTTGCACATCAATGACTCACTGTCCAGGAACTGTGGTAAAAGAGATGTAGGGCCCAAGCAATGTTCATTCAACGTTTTTTCCTAGCATCTTAAAAGGAAATTAAAATACAGTATTTGAAACAGTGAACATTCTTATTCCATTTCCTTGCTATTTCTTTTCACCTTTAATAGTCTCTCCTCCTACCAAAAAAAGATTAAAATCAATATGTATTGATTTATACACACCAGACAAAGTTATATGGTTTATACACATCATTGAGGAGTTGATATCGCCAATAGGTATTGGTGATATATCACCTTTGATTTCAAACCCCGCCCCCCATGTTTCCTAAGGTTTGCTACTGGGTTTCAATGCTTGCATGGAATTTTAAATTTTTATATTAAAAAATTCAATAATTAACTATCTATTTAAGTGATTAAAAAATTGAACTCTGATAAATGGTTTCTTAAGCAAGAATAGGTTCCAACTGAAGAAAAACCAGAGAGCACAGACGAACATGACAAATACCAAATGGGACAACTACCAATCCTATAATTAACATGACATGTCACATGATCTAATGCCACAAGTAGATATATATACCATTTTACTATTCATCACCTTTTTCATTTTTCAAGGCTATATTTATATTTATTCTTAGAAGCAAGCTGATTGAGATACAATGCATGAGAACGTTGATACCCTACACTTGACAATATAAGCCCACTGTACCCTCACATAGTACGTATGTGACTACAAGTTATGATTGTATATAAGAGGCATATTAAATTAATTATATACAGTGCCCTATCGTACTTCGAGAAGTTAGTCCATATCTAATATAAAATAACAATTTTATATTCCCTACAAAAAGTAAGTTTTGCATCCTAATATTTAGATAAACATCACAAGTCACGTATCGGTTTTATAATCAGTTCATACATCTATAAAATGGCCTTTCAGAAATTAATAGTACCAGTTTCGTGTGAGAAAACCAGTTATTTCACTTTTGCCAGCAAAAATATAAAGTGAAACAATATATCATATCATGACTTTGGATAACATGCAGAATTTCAATATTTTTGTCAAAGTAAAATCCCAATCAAAAGCCAATCTTAGATAAAGATAAAAAAAACTTTGTCATATATCTACACATATATGTGAGTTTCTTTAATCTTAGAACAGCGTGATCATATCAAAAGACACTTTTTCGGAGTATAAATCTTTTCCAATGGATTCCTTCAATCACTTTATGCACATTAATTACCCCCTCCAATCTGGGTGACATTGTCACTCGCTAGAAAATCTTTCGATAGATGTCAAGCACTTTACACTACCAATCTTGGTGCATATATTCCCTCTGAATAACTTTTCTAAAAAGATAACCGAGTTCACCGAGGCCATTTATCCCACGAAATATAAGAATCTAAGTGCAAATAGAATATAGATAAAAGTCCAGCCATAAACTACACGATTTCTCCATGCAATCCACAAGAGCAAGTGCTAGTTCAGAAGTGACCACCAAACCCCTTAATGCAATCATTAAGTATACATTTATAATAACTTAGGCACTTAACTTTTTAAGGCCAAAAAGAACCCTGGCAAACTTTAAACAAGAACCTAATTTTCTCTTCCGCACAAAATTTATCTAAAACAGTAACGACACAGACACTGATCAGAATGAAGAAATAAAAAACAATTAATAGCAAAAATATCAAACATGAAACACCATTTATTAAATTTCAATTAAGCATAACTCAGATCAGAAAAAAGAAAAAAAATAAATAAATACCTCGTCAAGCATGGTTAATAGCCTGCACTTTTTCTTCCTACCATCATTCCCATATTCCCCAAGTGGATCATCCCCACCAATTCCACTAGCACTTAAACTCTCATGAGGAGGTTCCATCAACGATGCATCAGGAGCAATCTTCTCAGTAGCGTAAATTCCACGAACCCCAACATCACATAGCTCTCCCAATAACTGCTGTGCAGGCTTCAAGAACCTCGATTCCTTCAATATGGAAGCATAACCCGTAAAGGGTCCAAGTGGAACTGAATTCCTTGAAACTTCACTGTTTCCTCCAACCAAACCCGGAATCACACAACCACCACCAACCTTATCACCATAAATAACAGACCCATATCGCTGAAGATTCAGTTCCAAAGGGTGATGAGTGTTGTTGCTATTGTGGGATGATAAAGACAAAGACAAAGGCTCAGGCTTGAACACCAACATTTCACCACCATCATTGTAGCTACTATCAAATTCCCTAAGGTTCTGAAGGCCTTGAGCCTGGTAAAGAAAAGGGTTACTACTACTGTTCACAACCCCTCCTGCAAACCCCATCATCAAATTGGAACCTTCTTCTTTAGCACCACCACCTTGGTTTCCTTTGCAAGCTTCGTTCTGGTTACTGTGAAACCCGTGACCTTGTTGGTTAGCACAAGCTAACAAATCAGATGAAATAAGTGAAGGATCGTAGAGAGAGGGTAAGGTTGCACAAGCAGGATGAAGGGTAGAGGAAGATTCAACAAACCCAGGTTGGTTCTGAGCAAAAACTCTCAGCTTGTCCCTTCTACTTTGTTGTGGGACATGGTAATGCTCAAAACCCTCAGCCATAGAAAACAAGAAGAAAGATGAAAAGAGAAGTTCTTTTTCAGTTGCAGCGTGACCCAGATGAAGATGAAGGAGAAGAGAGAAAGAGAGATGAACAGAAGAGGTGACGGAAGTTGCAGAGAAGAATAGTGGAAGTGATGGTGACTGTGAAAGGAAAGGATATAATAATTATCATGATCTTATGCAGAGAAAGTGGCGCAGTTTGTCACAGAGATACGTGATTTGAGAAATTGGGGGTATGGTATGGGTTTTGGTCTCTAACACGCATCTGAAACTGAAACTACTGCACACAAACTCACACACTCACTCACAAGCAAACATAATCACATTCTCTCTCTCTACCCTATATGCAGGGTTAACTGAGCCTTCTTCTCTCTTATTTCTCTTCCTCTCTTTTGAAAGGGAAGGTGCTCATGATGCACGTTGGGTTTCGGGAAAAACCGGCTATTTCCGGTAATAATCGAACAACGTTGCTCCTGTGTGTGTTGCAGATATTTCTGACAACTGGGTTTCTGGGTTTTGTCGTTTTCGAAGCCCCTTGTGTTGTGTGTCCTTGTGAGTTTTTTTTATTGACCGCAGATTAAAAATGATTTAGGATATTACGGTTTATTTGACCAAAAATACAAAAACGATAATACGATTGATTAAAAAAATAAAAATATTTTTTAAATATATTTTATCATAATTATTCACATATCTTTACTCTTATTTTCAGTAAAAATAATTTTTAATTATTATATTCGAAATATTCAATAATAACAGATTATTATTATATTAAAAGTAATGGTGGCCAATGATAATCGTGACGGTGATGAGATGACGCACGTGAGAAGGAAAGGAACAGAGTGGTGAATGAAAGAAAGGCTTTTGCCGTTCTCAACACTCATCCCGTCTCGCTTTACGAGGTTTCATGTTTCTTTTTTCTTTTTTTAAAAAAATGAGTTAAGTAATTAGCAAAATAAATATTTTAAAAATAAAAAAATTAGCTTCAATTACGAAGATTGAACTTCAACACTTAAATATATTTGTGTTAATAATAAATTATTTCTTATATTTTTAAATTTTCATAATAAATACTTTTATTTTTAATAAAAATTATTACACTTAGATATTTAAACTTAGTCTTATCAATTCATATTAGCAAATTTTTTTTAAAAAAATTATAATTCTAAAATAGTAAACATATTATTTTTAATAAAAATTATTTTTTTCATACTAAAATTTAATTTTAAAATACAAATTTAATAAAAATAAAAAATATTAAAAATTAAAATAAATATTTTAAAAGCTATCAAAATATTTAATTTATTTTAGATAAAAAATTATTGTTTATATTTTTTAATCTCAATTTTAAAAATTAAATTTAAATATTTAAAAATAGTAAAATTTCATTAAAAAAAGTAACATTTATTACACTTTGTATCTTAAATATAATAAATACTTCTTTTAATAAAAAATTTACTTAATACTTAAACATACCTCTAAGTTAACAAAAATATTTTTTTAATTTGTATCTAATAATATTTAATAAGAACCTATATATTACTTCTTATTCTAAATATAAGACCATTTAGAGAAATAATGGTTGTTCAAATCCATTCATTGCATATAAAAGTATTATTAGTGGACATATATATATATATATATAGATATATATATATATATATATATATATTAAGAAAAATTATATAGATCAATAAATTTAATCATTTAGTTGAAATTAATTTTTAGCTTACTAATTTATTTGTAGTGGAAACTATTTCACATGGAAAAAAAATATCAATAAAAATAAAAATAATAATTAATATTATCTTAAACATTTACATAAATAAATAAATAAGAAAAAAAATTTCTTTTCATTTCGATAAATAATCTTGAACAAAGAGATAATAATTAATTAGGTAGAAAAAGTAAAATCATAGATATTAATAATTTTACAATTTTGTTAATATCAAAATTTAAGATTGAGTTTAACCAATTAATAATTTTAATTTTTTATTAACAAATAAGTATTAATTAAACCTAACCCTATAGATTAAAAATAAAATTGATAATTTTAAGGATAATTTTATAAAAATTATTGATAATTTTGAAATCATTAATTAATTCTGATAATGTAGTTAAAAGAATGTTATATTTAGAATCTAAAATAAAAAAGATTTTGTTTATTAAAAATCATAAAATACTATACAATTTAATGTATTACTAACATTAAATTTATATTTTTCATAAAAATATTATTTATTAATTTTTCATTGTGTATTATTGGAACAGTAAAATTACATATTTTTTAATTTTATTTATTTTAAAGTTTTGATCTTTAATTTTTATAAATTTAATATTTTTAAATATTGACTATTATAAAATGATATGATTAATTATATAGCTATTTCATTTTAATTTTTTGTGGAACCATTTTATTGAGAAGTACAGAAAACTTATAAAATAGATGTATTATTTGAATGAATAAAAATAAAATATCAACAATGTTTTTAAGATAATGATAAAATAATAAATTTTAAAAAAATTAACATTTTTATTATAATATTCCTTACAATTTTTATATTGTGTAAAACTATTATTTAACAATGAAATAAACTAATATATTTCAACATTTTTATATTATTTAAAAATATTAATAAGAAAATAAGCTAGTACAAATTAAAAACAATGCATGTCTTCTTCCCACCATTGTTTTATTATGTATCATTTGTTTTTATTCCTCTATTCTTTCATTTATTTCACAAAAAGAAATTAACTCACACAAAAAATCCTATTTTATGGCTATGAATGAATATTTTTTCCTTTCTTCTTTTCCTTATATATGCATACCAAGTTTTTCAACAAGATCGCTTCCAATCATTCCTCTACACTGTAACTTCATCTGATTCACTCCACGTTAGGATTTGTGGTTTGATAGAAACAATAGAAGGCCAAAAAAGAAAAGAAGTTTATCCATACTTTTTATTGATTCAACGTTTCTGTTTTTGGAGAGTTCTAATTGATTGTAAAGAACTTCACTAGCTTTTGATTTCTGGTCATGGTGCCGACACTCACCTAAATATGTTGATTGGAAACTATCTTCTATTGTCTTGGTATTCTAGAGATGTGGCCATCGTTGAAGAATATGTTGTTTTTTCTTTCTTTTGTTTTTTTTTTCTTTCTATTATTTAACTTTTGTTTTAGGAATAACAAAATAAAAAATTAAAAAGAAAACGATGAACAGTTAACATTGTCAATATATGAAAGGCTTAGATTTTGTCACGTCATTTTTTTATAAGTAACTTAGCAGCTAACAGAAGATGGATGTGAATGTTTATTAAGATAAATCATCTCAACCACAAACTACTGATACTGGTGACGTATGTTAGCAATTCTAAACATTGTAGTCCCAACCACTTATGTAGGCAAGCAGGCAACAAAGGGTTACTAATGGTTTATTTTATTTTGTTTTATTTTTGTCCACTAGGGCTACTAACGTTAATGTGCAGGCGTTTTTATTATAATGAATGGTATACAACATCGAAACTTAAGATTTTGAAATAACTAGTTATATTTTTTATTTGAGGGCTGACCCCATACTTCTAACATAATTTTTTAATTTATTTTTTTATTAATTGACTAAAATTTATTAAAAATTAAAAATAAAAAAATAAAAAGTGATACTTACATAATTTTTATAAATTTTAATAATGCCTAAAAGTGTATTGTTACTAATTTTTTAATTAATATACATTTTCATTCTTTACATCATGATTTTTCTTAAAAAGTGGACTCCCTGCCATGTTAAGTGCCTTAGAAATCATAAAGCCTACCTCAACAATCCTGTAACTACAGCTTACATTATTTTTGTATAAAAAGGCAAATGCAAGAATAAAAATTTATGGCAAGGATTTGGTACTGTGATAAACAAGATATATTTTTAAATGGGAAATATACATGGAGAGTTTTAATTGAGGTTATTCCCAAAAATTTGTCTTTAACAATGTTATATCGTATGTGAGAGTAATAGAGTATATATGAAACTAGTTTAATGTTGGTGATTACTGAAAGAAAATTATACTCTAAATTAATTAAAATACTTTGCTGATATAATTTTTATATTAAGTATTATATAAGTAAATAATTTTTATTGACACAATTTCTGATTGAGTAACAGTACATATTTTTTACATCCTTAATATATTTAAATTAAATTCATATAAAATATACAACGTAGAATATCTAATCTCAAATATAAGAAAAAAATTAGATTATGCTTAACAAACAAATTAGCTAATCTCATTTAATATTTTCAATTTATCTAAAAAAATAAACGTCATTTTCTAATATACTTTTTATGATATGTATTGTATCTAAAAATAAATAACTTAAGAATGTTTTAATTTTTTTATTAGCATTAAGTGACATTAGTGATATGCTAAATGTCAATGTAAAAAATAAATTTTAAAAAGAGACTTAAATTTTAGAAAGATGTTTTAAGTAATTTTTCTTCGTTTAATATGATATTGATTTATAGGGTGCTTTTTATTTAAATTTCAATGTATCTAATACAAGGAACTCAAACTGTGGATGCAATCTATTTGCATAGTCAATGACAATCAAAAGAACGAAAAAGTATTTGTAACAAACATAAGAAGGTTTTTATTTTAGTGATTAACATTGTGATATTTAAATAATAAAAATTATACTCGTATAATTGCATCGTAGGTTAACCTTAAATTTCATTTTTAGAATGCAAATTTACACTATAGTTATATTGGTTGAGAATACCACAGTTAAGAAATGAATTTTTCATATTTGCTTTTGTTGAAATCATAGCAATTGGGAGATTTATTATATACTAAGTTGTTATTTGACTCTAAAAAATATATTTAAATGGATATAAAACATTACTCAGTGAAAACACCAAACCTTTTCATGATTGAGTCAAAGCTAACTATTTTGTATATCAAGTTCAAAGTTATTTGTGACTGAGAGCAATGATAAATCAACAATTTATATTTTTATTTATTTTTATGTAGTTAATCAAGAATTATTTGTGCCAATTACATTAATTCAAGAGAAAATTAATTGTTAATTTAGTTTTAAAATTTCATACTAGAAGCATGAAAAACCAAACAAAAAATCATGATAAACATTTTAGGTAACTATGATGAATAATATAGTTCATTGTTAAGATGATTAGAATACATGCAACCACATGCTTAGTGTGTTTATAAAATTGAAATAAACAATTATGTAGTAAGTCATCAAGTGGATAACAGAATTATTATATTTTTATTATTTATTTTGGTCCTTCAAACATTCCTATATGATAAGGATCAACAAAACATTGTTTGATTGCTAAAATGCAAGATATAAATAATTGTGTGCTTCAAAATTTTTTTACTATTTTTGAAGAAGAAATTTTGTTAGCATGAAAATAGTTCTTAGATG